GTCTTCTCTGGAGATTTGGCCTCTTCCTTCACAGGGGACTTGTCCTTCTCTGGAGATTTGGCCTCTTCTTTCACGGGGGACTTGGCCTTCTCTGGGGACTTGGCCTTCTCTGGAGATTTGGCCTCTTCCTTCACAGGGGACTTGGCCTTCTCTGGGGACTTGACCTCCACTGGGGATTTGGTCTTCTCTGGGGATTTGGCCTCTTCCTTCACGGGGGACTTGGCCTTCTCTGGAGATTTGGCCTCTTCCTTCACAGGGGACTTGGCCTTCTCTGGGGACTTGGCCTTCTCTGGAGATTTGGCCTCTTCCTTCACAGGGGACTTGGCCTTCTCTGGAGATTTGGCCTCTTCCTTCACAGGGGACTTGGCCTTCTCTGGGGACTTGGCCTTCTCTGGAGATTTGGCCTCTTCCTTCACAGGGGACTTGGCCTTCTCTGGGGATTTGGCCTTCTCTGGAGATTTGGCCTCTTCCTTCACGGGGGACTTGGCCTTCTCTGGAGATTTGGCCTCTTCCTTCACAGGGGACTTGGCCTTCTCTGGGGATTTGACCTCTTCCTTCTCTGGGGACTTGGCCTTCTCTGGAGATTTGGCCTCTTCCTTCACTGGGGACTTGGCCTTCTCTGGGGACTTGGCCTCCAATGGGGACTTGGCCTTCTCTGGGGATTTGGCCTCTTCCTTCTCTGGGGACTTGGCCTTCTCTGGAGATTTGGCCTCTTCCTTCACTGGGGACTTGGCCTTCTCTGGGGACTTGGCCTCCACTGGGGATTTGGCCTTCTCTGGGGATTTGGCCTCTTCCTTCACTGGGGATTTGGCTTTCTCTGGGGATTTGGCTTCTTCCTTCACAGGAGATTTAGCCTTCTCTGGTGACTTCACTTCCACTGGGGACTCAGCCTTTTCTGGGGACTTGGCCTCAGCAGGGGACTTGGCCTCTTCTGCTGGGGGAGACTTTGCTTCTTCTCTTCCTTCCTCCTCCTTAGCTTCCTCCTCTTTCACCTCTTTCTCCTCTTCTTCAGTCACTTCTTCGGTCACTTGGACCTCCTCTGTCTGTTCCTCCAGAATCACAGTTTCCTTCTCTGACTTTTCTACCACCTTGATTTTCTCTTCGCTTTTGACCTTTATGTGAGTGGTCATGGGGGGGATTTTGGGGAGTACTTCTGGAAGGGAGAAAGGAGTTGGGCCAAAGCCAATCCGACATTCTTCGCCCTCCAGGAGTTTTCTGCAGAATGGAAAATAGAACATGTTACTATTAACTCTAAGCAGGCTGATGAGTTGCGGGCTTCCTGAGTTACTCTGAAGGGTCACAGCATCCAACGATACGTACTCTGGTGGAGGAAGGAGTGTGAATGGTGGGCGCTTTGAGACAGGAAATGGTCACTTAGTAGATCATCCCAGGGACGACCAGAATCTGTGCCCCGATGGCACTGCTCTTGTTTAATGCAGCTAAGGCTGCAACTTACAAAACATTTTTTCCTGAAAAAGGGCCCTTGAGAGAGCACCTCTATTAATAAAAATTACACTTACTGTCCCTCATAAAACATTATTCAAGAGAAAGGTGGGAGTATGAGCAAAGAATTCCACATTAATAAATCTTAATAAAAAATTAATAAAAAAATAAATTTAAGAGGTCTTAGAATGTTCCCATTTGAATTTCAAAGGTCTCTTGATATCTTATATTCTCATCCTCTGGATTTAAGGAATAAGATGGTGGCAGAGTTTCCACTCTTTCTTACTCACAAGATGTGTGACCTTAGCTAAGCCACTCAAACTCTTTAAGCCTCAGTTTCCTCACTAGTAAAAGCAGGGTCATAAGGAGTCCCTACCTCAGAGGGTTGTTTCAATGAAATAATGAATAAAAAGAACCTGGCAATACCTGCCTCAGAGTAAACGTAGGCGTTACCCATACAGACCAGTGCTTTGCAAATGTAACAGCATGCAAATCACCCAGGAGTCTGATTAAAATGCAGATTCTGATTCAGCAGGCCTAGGGTGGGGCCCGAGAGCCTGCCTTTCTGACCAGCTTTCAGATAATGTTGATTGTGCTGGTTTGTGGCCAATGCTTTGAGTAGCAAGACTAGAGATCAGGGCCAAGACAGGGGAAGTGAAGGGTGGGACCAGCCAGCAAGTGGGACAGGTCCTCAGGGGGTCAGCCCTGTTCCTGAGCAGGACACTGCCAAGCCAGGTCTCGTGGCTTTCTGATGGCTGCATTTACTGAGGGCTTTCTCTGCGACAGCCCAGTGGCACCTGCGTCATCTGGATTAGTTCAGGAACAAGATTATTAGCACCTTATCCCAACAACCCCATGATATGTGGGTACTGTTATTATAACCCCCATTTTACTTCCCCAGGAAACTAATGCTTAGAGAGCTAAGAAACTCTATGAGGCCGAGTTGTAAAGGTCCCTGACGACGCAAGTACCTCCTATCCTTGCAAAGCAGGCCTCTGGTTGGCGGATTTGGGAAGAGGGTGAGGAGCTTTTACCCTCTAAATCATTGTCAGAATGAAACTAAGTCACTCTGAAGATATTTGTCCCTCAGAAGGTAGAATGGTCGTTGCCAGGGCTGTTGGGGGGAGGGAGTGGGGAGTTACCATTTAGTAAGCACTGAATTTCAGTCTGGAAGATGAAAAAGTTCTGGAGACAGATGATGGTGATGACTGTACAACAATGCAAGCAGTTTAAATACCACTAAGCTGTACACTTAAAAATGGTTAAATGGTAAGTTTTATGAGCAGGCTGCCTCACTGGGGAGCTGAAAATCCAAGGCTTCTCCTCCTAAGAACACAAAGGCGCTCCACCCCCCTGGCCCCTCACCTATAAGCAGCAATCTCGATATCCAGAGCCATCTTGACATTGAGCAGGTCCTGGTACTCTCGGAGCTGGGCTGCCATCTCCCACTTGGTGTTCCTCAGCTCAGCATCCAGCTGCTGGATGGCTTCCTGGGGAGGAGAAATCACACACGTCACACGTCAGTCCGCACCTGGCCCTCAGCCCCGGAGAAGTTGGGGCAGGCTAGACAAACCCAAGGCAGTCCTGTCCAGCCAGGCCAACCCCCTTCCTGTGAAAGCTACGGGGCCTCATCCACGGGCACGGAAACCACCAGGAACAAAAGTCCTGCTGTGTGTATAACCTCAGCCTGGGGAGTGGTCTGGGATGAAACACACCAGACACCAACAATGGTTATCACAGGTAAGTGGGATGAGGGGTGAGTTTTCACAGATCTGAAGCTTAGAAAGGGCTCAGTGGGAACAGGGCCTTGTCTGCTTTGGCTCCTGATTGTTTCCCCAGTGCTCCAAAGTGCCTGCCACCTAGTAAAGGCTCGGGAGGCATCTGGTGATGAGGACTGAAACAGTGCACAGAAGCACGTTAAATACAAGCTGAAACATCTCCCCAACCCCAAGCCCACTCAGCCACTGCTTAAGGTGAACCATTACGGCAGATTTTTATTGCCTCCTTTATCTACAGTCAACACATACTACTTGTATAAGAAGGTCTTTAAAAGTGCCATTTTCTTTCAGCTGTTGTCTTTATTGGGAGGTACCTGCCAAGGTTTTCCCCAGGCTACCCTCAGTCACGGACACTGCTTATTGTTCATTGAACGCCCACTATGACCAAGGCCCTGCTGAGCATGCTCACTCATCTCATGAAAAGTTCACCTCTCTTGAACCTTCACAGCTCTGAAAAGGAGGCTTTTTTTTTTTTCATTACATTGAGGGAATTCATATTCAGAGAAGCAGAACACTTTCCTGGGGTCACACAGCTAGAAAGACATCTTGGTATCTCTGGTATGTCTGACTCAAAAAGGGGCAGTGACTTGTCCAGGGTCACCCAGCCAGATGAGGCAGTCTCTGGCTCTCTCTGCTCCACCCCTGCTCACCTGGTAGGATGCGATGTCAGCCTGATGACGGTCCTCCAGCTCAGAGCGCTGCCTCTCCAGCGAGTCCTTGGTGCTTTTGAGCGTCTCCAGCTCTGTGGTCCTGGCCTGCAGCTGGCGCCGGTACTCAGTTATCTCCTCCTGTGCTGAGCGCATGGCGTCTGTGTTCATCTTGGCTGCTTCTGACAGTCGGTCCAGCCTCACTGGGAGAGAAGAGGACAGAACACAGGGTTAGACACAACTGGATTTGGATTCTAGTGCCCAGATGTGGAAGGTGACACACATGGGTTGAGGACCTACTGAATGCAGGGTGCCATCTTGGATGCTTAACTCACCCTATCCTTTGTGACAGGCAAATGACTACTGTCCAAGGCCAGTAGACCAGTTCAAGCAGCAGAGCTGGGCTTCAAATTTAGTGTCTATCTGGCTCCAAAGATCACACTCTGTCTCCCCAAACTCAGAATCTGGAAACTCTGCAGAGCAAAGGAAGCCCCCATTTCTGGGCATCCTGGTTCAGCTCCCCAGCAAAGGCTGGCACTGCTGGGGGTTCAAGTGAGAAACTCGGCCCACGGAGCTTAACTGTGAGCTTGTGGTTGAACAAGTTAATGAGCCTGTGACCTTTAGAGGCATCGAGGGCGCTATGAGCCACCATGTAGCCATAGCCCCTTCCTTGTAGGTTTCTGCTGTGCAGAGCCCAAGGTCACTTCTGACCTGTGTGCCAGTTCCTCTGTCCCTTCCTCCACCAAGCTGCGCATTCTCTAGCACAGGAGCCCCTGCACCAATGGCAGCCACACCCCAGCCCCTGTGAGCAATGGGTAGCTAGTTTCTAGAAGATTTTCCGGGGGCCAGTAGGGGTCTGGAAACTAGTCTGAATCTCCTGAAAGTGAACACCCTGAATCCTGAGATAATGACACTCAGGACCTAAGTCTTGGGAATGTGGGAAGAAGAGATGCCAGCTAGGTGGTCCAGAAGTCCTCGGATGCCTGTGTGAAGGGCAAAGCCTAAGAGAGCAGAGAGGTTTGCTATGGGATGAGCCTTGCTGCAGAAATGGGGGAGGAGATGGTTCTGCCACTGCAGAGGAGAGGAAGGAACTGGAAAAGCCATGTTTCCGAATCCTAGCTTTTCTGATTTTCTCTGCTAATGCTAGCCAAGACTTAGAAACCATCCAAGTGGGTGAGGATTCTTACCCACTGTGGATCACAAACCTGTATGAAAATCACTGAAGCCTCTGTCCCCTCTCCCAAGAACAATGCAGAAGTTTTACAGCCACTTTTGGAAATAATCATGGAGCTTCCCAGAGTAAGAAGCCCAGTTAGTCCATCACTCTTTCAATCCCAAAGGAAATGAAAACCAGAGAGGGCAAGTGTTGGTCAAAGTCACCCTGTAGGAGCTGGGCTCAGAGCTGCGACAGCTCAATCTAGCTGACTCAGGGTGGCTTGGAGTTGGGGGAGCGGCGGATTTGGGAGGCTCCCAGCTTTTCTTCTGGGAAGAGGGGACATTAAAGGGCCCACTGGCCACCTCAGCCTCAGGCACCAATTGGTTGTGGCGATGGTCCCCCTGGGAGAAAGAATGTGAGGGTGACCCACCCCTCCCGGACTGTCGTGGGGAGGAGCCTAATAGGTGTCAGGTGAACGGGCCCCCTGCAGTGTGCAGGAAAGGGGGATGGGCAGCGTCGGACAGGGAAGGCATGTTACTTTGAAGGGCAAAGAGCCTCCAGTTCCTGCGACTAGAAGACAGCACTGCTTTGAAGCTGTAGAGAGAACCTGATGGAGAGGGGCCTCAGAGTGGGTTACCTAACCTTGGGAGAAGGAGCAGAGTGGACCCGTAGTTGAAGGACAGATAAAGGCACCCTGGAGGAGGCAAAAGGAGAACCCAGAGTTGTGGATAAGGCGGGGGGCTGGGTATCCTACAACTCAGAGTGAAACTGTTAAGGGGCATGCATCTTGCAAGGGGAAGCTGAGCAGGACACCATTCAACCCAGCCACCTCTATGCAGCGCCCACTACCACCCTAGTTCACACCACCCTGCCTCTCGTTGTTCGACCAGCAGGGGCGCCCCACCCTCCCTAACCCCGCGCGCCAGCGAACCTCGGAACCACTCCTCGGACTGTAGCGTGCTCTGCACCGTGTGGCCTTCAAGCTGCGCGCGGATCTCGCGCAGTGCCGACGTCACGTCGCACTTGAGGGCGTCGCGCGCTTCAGCCTGCGCTTGCGCCTGCGCGGCGCCGCTGCCCTGGATCTGGCCGAGCAGCTCGCCCACCTCCTCCTGGTGGTGACGCCGCAGGTAGCCGCACTCTTCCTGCAGGGCTTGCGCTTTCTTCTGCAGCTCGACGCGCGCCG